TGAGTGGTTATTCGCAAAGGCATTACGAACATACGTATCCAAGTGTAGTAAGGGGTCTACAGTAGAACGTCCTTTACGAAAGCCATATTGACGAGTGGAGAGACTGTTGTGTCTCTCTAAATACCACACTAAACGTCTATTTACCAGGCGTTCCATCACTTTGCAAACTGCTCTGGTAAGAGCAATGGGACGATAGTGGGAGGCTTCATGTCCCGTAGTGCCTGGTTTGCAGAAAGGGAGAACAATGACAGATTTCCACAGCTGTGGAAGAACTCCTTGTGACCAAATAAGATTGAAAAGGCATAATAGGACTGCAAGGGCTGACTGATGTAAATGTTGTAGCATACGAATATGAATGTCGTCGGGCCCAGCTGCCGATGATCGGCAAGCTGAGAGTGTTGCCTCTAGTTCTTGAAGTGTAAAAGGCACATTATACTGTTCTTCTCTGAGAGAAGAAAAGTCCAAGGGTGCTAACTCTCTGGCAGACTTCGAGGAAAGAAACTAGGGGCATAGATGGAGCCCCTGAGAAATACGGACCAGATGATTGCCAATGTCATTGGCAACATCTAGTGGGTTTGCTATATCAACACCGGCAACCCGCAGAACAGGAGCTGGGTCAGGAGAATATTTACCACTCAGTTTTCGTACTTTTTTCCAGACTGCACTCAGAGGAAGCAGAGGTGATGGTGGAGACAATCTCGCCAGCAAGTGCATTTAGCGTCACGGATGACACGGCGAGCGATCGCACGCTTCTGCTTGAAATCAAGAAGTCTCTCCGTGGTTCTATTGTACCGGTACCTGCCCCATGCAGCACGTTTCAAACGTACTGCACGAGCACAAGCAGGAGACCACCAAGGCACACATTTCTGAGAATGCCTGCCCGAAGTTTGGGGTATAGAATGAGAAGCTGCGGTTAAAACGGAGGATGAGAAGAGGTGTAAAAGCTCATCAATGGAGGACGAAGAAGGAACCTCACTAAAAACAGTTGTGAGTAAAGGTTCCAATTTGCCTGATCAAATTGCCAGCGTGAGATACGAAGAGGTGGTGAATATGAAGGGGAAGTAAGAATGATTGGGAAATGATCGCTGTCATGTAAATCCGGGAGAACAGACCGAGATCGATGCAAGAGAGGGTGCGAGTCCGAGGATCAAAATGGGTGCGAGTACCTGTATTTAAAACATGGAGGGGATGGGTGGCAAGAAAATCCTCTAACTGAATGCCACGGGAATCAGTGAGACCCCCCCCCAGAGGAAATGATGGGCATTAAATCGGTGGTGGTAATGACGAAACAAGAAAGGCAATATCCATAATATTATTATTATAATCAAGGGGGAAGCGCTAAACCCGGAGGATTATACAGTATTATCCATAATAGATAGTGCCCGAGGAGAGAGATATAAAGAACAGAGTGTATACCACCTATGCAAGTGGATACGGGCTGCTGTGTAATGCAGCGAAGTACGAACAAATAGCTGATGGTACGGAATATCAGTGCGTAGAAGAAGGGCACTTTCATTAAAGGTCCCATCAGGAAAAGTATCTGAAGAATACAATAAATTATAGCCTGAGATGGGAGAGATAATGGCAGAGTGTACTTTTGATTCCTGTAAGCAAACACCAACAGGGGAAAACTGGGAGAGTAACATCTGAAGCTCACCCCGATTACCCTTGAGGCCGCGTATATTCCACTGTAAATAGGCCATGATTGGCAATGATAAAGATACTTGAAATCTGCAGGTAAGGGTTCCTACGGACTAGAGGGGTTAGAAAAGTCCACATGCGGAGGCAGCGGAAAACGTTCAAGCAGCGAAGGAACGGTGCGCTGTGAAGAAAGGAGTTGTGCAAATGGAGAAGAGAGAGAAGGAACAGAGGGTGGATCAGTGTCCATTGATGGTTTGGTCTCTGCAATATATTCAGAGATTGCTTCAAGTGTTTCGGAATTCAGAGACGTCGTATGGGAGAGAATATTGGAGATGGTAGGGGGAGGATGAGTAAAGATTGGGACTGTAATGGACTGTACCAAGGTAGGGGGGGGGGCGAGAGGGTGGAGGGAACTGGAGAAGAAGCGTGGAAGGGGACAGAAGAGGCAGAAACCTGGAAGGTGGCAGAAGAGGAAGAAACTTGGGAGGGAACAGGGGAGGTAGGTATAGTACGAGGAGGGTGAACCTCTACACTTGTAACAAGCCAGTGAGAGGGGAAGAACCCGGTACAGAGACAGGAAAGGTAAAATGAGGAGGTGGAAGGGAAGGAGGGGTTAAAGGACCTTTTTTTGACTTCTGAGAAGTAGAGGGACGATTGGGAGGAGGTGTCGTACGAGGTCTCGTCGATACTGAGGTTTGTGAGGGAGAACACGAAGAAGCGAGAACAGACTGAGGCGTTGAAGTAGGGACGTCTGAGCCTAGGACAGCAAAAGAATTAGATACAGGAGTGACTATGGGAGAGGTAACCACAGAGGAGGCTGCAGAAGATGGGACCCCAGAAGTGGGGGGACGTTTTGAAACATGAGGTAGTCTCCCTTGGAGGCGGAGATGAGAAACTGCCATGGCATAAGGGAGACCTGCCTCTTTGAGGTAACGGATTTCCCGCTCATTTAAGTAGACTTGGCAACAGCGAGAGTACGAAGGGCGAGCCTCATGACAATTAAGGCAAGAGGGAGGTCGATTGCAAGACATATTAGAATGGTCATCAGCACCACAGACTGGGCATTCGGCTATGGATCTGCAATATTTCGCTGGATGGCCAAATCGCCAGCAATTTCTACACTGTTGCGGTGTAGGGATCACCTTTCGAACTTGTAACCGATGTCCTGCTACATAAACTGAGGATGGGAGTTCACGGCTGTCAGAAGTTAAACGAGCCACATTGCTAGGGTATCATCTCCGCCTGCGGGCAGGAAGAACATAAGTGTCTACCTTGAGGATTGGGAGATCTTTGAGTTCCAGCTGTTCAAGAATGTCATTGCCACATGTCTGGAAATTTTGTTGAACTATGGTATGGGGCAGAATGACGGTACCATTACAAGAATTGAGGGAATGATGTTTTTCAATAGTGACAGGAACAGTATCTATATGGGAAAGAAGAGAAAGCTCATGAGCTTGGGAAATTTCTGTACAGTGAAGATTGCGTGTACGCTCTTAAGAGCATGAAAAGAAATATCTTTACCAACATGGCGTAGGAGTGCCTTGCCAATACTGTGGTCAGAAAGGTAGAGGACGTCGGTTGTAAAGTGAAGAATTTAGTCCATTGTGTAGTCCGAAACTGAGCGTGGAGAGGGAGTGCAGGAGGGTGCCCGATTTTTTCTGAGAAAAACGAGAAGGTGGAGAAGTATCATCAGCAGGTAATTGTCATTGGCATTTAGGCGTGGGACCAGAGTTGGTCCGACGTGGAACAGGCCGGCGATTCGAAAATTGCCGCACCGTAGAGGGAGAGCGGAGGTCAGATAAATCAAAGGAGTCAGTCAAGACCTCGGTACCTGAAGCGGGTGAGGAAACAGCACCGGCAAGAGGAGTGTCTGAAGAGTGGTCCAATGACGAGGCGGGGTCAGAACAGGGTGTGGTATCAAGAAGGGGCCCGGGAGTAGCAGGTTCGACTAGGGCTGCCATGGTTAGGTTACTTCTTTCTTTTTGTTTTGAAGAAAAAAAAAAGGGGGGAGGGATAGTTCTTAGGAGGAATGAAAGGGCCAGAAATCTCCCTCAGCACCGCAAGTAGCGTAGATGCAGCATGGAACCCATGCCATACCCTACCCATCATACCAGCAATCCGGGATAGCAACCTCACATCTGCCGAGGTACCTCAGTGGACAAAAGAGAGGGCGGCAGGATATCTGCCACAAAGCATACCTCCTTCGGCCACCACCCCCGGAATCCGAAAGACACCCAAAGCCACTCTCCGGGATACCGGAGAGGGATCGGGACATCCCCAGGCGATCCAGATTCCATGGCAAACTACGCCACCACCAAGAACCTCAACGGAATGGGATGGACCCCAGTACTCTTTCCCCTACCTAGGAACTAGCGCACCTGTGGGGAAGAGGGGATTGGGGGGTAATTAGGTTCTGTCTGAGGAAGGAGACCGACAGGTGTAATTCCTCAGACCAAGAGCCTCTTCACCATGCCAAGGAGCCCCCCTTGAAGAGGTGCATTGGTATAGCCACTGGTTGATGAAACATTTACAGTAAAGATACCCAGATGTTGCAAATGCAAATGTGTGTACTCTTGATGTAGTTATTGTAAACCATTTATGTACTTCGAGTAGCAGGTTTCAGCTGGGCACCCCCCACTTATATCTGCAATGTGTGTAGTTTGATGCAGTGTGCTCAGGTTGGAATCCTGCTGTGGACATTTATATTTTCATTATTATTTTGAGGTTATGAATAACACACTCAAATAAATCTTTTAATCTCTTAACAACAGTATCATGCATTGGGTGATTATCTACAATATCACAATATAGTACTACACAATTACATCATTAACCACGCTTTCTATCTACAGTGTCAAAGGAAGTTCTTGGAAATACTTTCCAAAACGGCACACTTACCTGAGCTGGAGATTTCAGCCAAGCTTATACTGCAAGTAGCTATATTTTAGTAATGCAGTATCAAACTCAGGGCAAGTAATGATATAAACCAGGATGGTCAAAGTACTTTGAAAGCGAAGCCACGTTTGTACAGTCGCCTACTGATATAACAAGACAGCCTAGCTAAATTCAGAAAATATTTAGGCATGCAATTTCAAGAGGTCTTGGTAACTAAAAGAATATACAAAGACCATAATATTAATGAGAAAATATTTTATGGAAGAACATTCACAAGGAGAGAAGATGATGGAAAGTGAAATGAGCAACATCCAGCTGTCATATCAATGTAAGAAAGGATAATGAGTTATGTGGAATGATATCAGGCAAACCATCTAAATATATCAGCTGTACAATTTGTTTGGCACTGCACCTAGAAAAAAAATTTAATTGTGGCATGTAACACAAATTGAAAAGAAATAAAATTTATAGGATTTGCTGCAACTTTAAACCAACACTAGTGACAGCAAGGTTTAGCTAAGAGAAATTTCAGGCACACTCTTGTAAACCAGACTGTCACAACAATATTAAACACTTCTTACATGCTTCCAATGACCTACTTGTGACAGCATTTTTTTTTCCACTACAATTTAGACATCAGCTTTTTCAGGTTTATTGTGGCTGGTCGATTATACAAAATCCTCTATCTCATGTCCCTTTGAGAGACATTGCTCAAAGGTCATTATCACGAGACTTAAATATTCATGACCTCGTCTTACACACGTCTAATCAGCTCCATATACGAGGACATGGATTAGATAGGCAAATTACATTCACAGAAGAGATCCTGTACTGCGAGGCCAGCAAGCAAGAGAACGACTAATTCTAAACAGTCCTGATTTGCATATGTACAAATTCTTAAAGTACAAATTATTTCACTAATATATTTTTTCTATACACTGCTTAACTCATATTCTCGAATGTGCATTCATGCGAGTGTCAGCAACAGCAGACTTAGCATGGATTAGTGCCTCCCTGGATATTTTTCTTGGGGAAGATCCAAAGCTGTTCTTGCTTATGTAGTCGTCATCACAGACAGCAGAGTCCACAGAAGATTGCCAGTCTAAAGAAGGTGTCTTTCCACTTTTGAGAACATTGCGCCCTGTAACAGCACGACCATTTGTTATACCAAATTGATTGTTACCTACATTCTGGTTATTTTCCTCAATATTAAAAGAGCATTCACTGATACCAGAATCGCTTCTCTCGCTGACTATACTGGATGAGGGGCGAGTCACAGGAGCACACCCTTTGGTCTTTGAGAGGGTGGTTGGAGTGGAAATTGGAGACTGGGAAGATGAGGATGGGGTGTGTGGGGATGGTTCTCTGGGAGTGGCGAAAGGCGGGTTGGTGAGGAGGGTTGTGAACTGCGACGATTGGTGAGGTTGGCCATTCGTCCCAGGGCACGGATAGCATTCCCAGTTTTCTAAACAAAAAAAACCATGCAATTAGTATCAGAAATTCCTTTTAATACAGCTATCATGGTTAATAGGTAAAAATTATAAGCATTAGCTTTAAAATTAAAAAACAAAACAAAAAACAGCAACAAACTCTTTTGCTTTATAGTTAAGCCAGAAATTAGTCTAGTATAACTTGGTGGCAAAAATTATTCTTTACTATTAAGTAAATCTTGTATTATTCCAACACTTAAGCTAAATCAAAACCTATACAACCTGCCACTTCCGCCTTATTATGAATTTCTTAAGTTTGTCTGTTGACAGGACTACTTTATTCATGTCTGCTTCAGTCTGTGCTAGCCAAGGATGGTTAAAACATTCTTTGGCTGTTAGTCGCTTCCTGTGTTAATAGGAATAATGAATATCAGTAAAAGTCTATACATTACTTAACAATTTTATAAATATATACAGAACTTAATTCTGAACAGTAAGATTATTACTGCATATTTATGGGCAAGTGCTAAACCTGTAGTGGTCATACAGTTCTACTGTCACATATACATTATATATTTAAATAACACATCTGCCATTTCCCACTGAGTCAGGGTGACCAAAAAGAAAAAAAAACTTTCGTTATCATTCAACACCCTTTTACCTCACTGATAATAATCTCTTTGCAGAGGCACCCAGATACGACAGTCACTCCAAACTGCCAATGTCCCAAACCCCTCCTTTAAAGTGCAGGCATTGTACAATGGACCCCCACCTTACGATATTAATTCCATTCCCGAGAGCTCATCATAAGCCAAAATTATCGTTAGCAGAATTAATTTTCCCCATAAGAAATAATGGAAATCAAATTAACCCGTGCAAGACACCCCAAAGTATGAAAAAAAAAAATTTTTTTCCCCACAGGGAAATTTTAAATTTTTTAATACCCCAAAAAACGAAGAAGACTTTGCACAATTATCCCTTACTAAGAATAGAATACATGACATTTATTTTTAAATTGAAATTGGTGATAAAATTGAGGGGGAGGGGGGGGAGAGTTTGGAAGTTATTTTTTTTAGAAGGGGAACCCCCCTTCCTTTGGGACTTGGGGTAGCAACCCCTTTCCCCCGGGGGTTTTTATTCCCTTTCTTCTTTTAGTGTCCCCACTGGGACCTTTTGAGAGTAACTGAACCTTGTTTGCACAACAAATCTGTCCCCAAAAGCTCTTTTTAACCCCCCCTTTCCCTTTTAAAAGCCCTTTCCTAAAAGGGGCCAAAACCATTGTCATTGAAACGGGTTCCCCAACAAAAGCTTGCAGCAGCTGTTGTCGGGGTAAATTTTTAAAATCTGAAAAGTTTTGATTCAACCCATTTTTGTAAAAATTTTCCTTAACTTTTTTTTTCCCTTCCAACTAATTAAACCCCCTTTTTTTAACCACAGGGATGGACAAAAAGCTTTTTTGGGGGGTCCAGGGTGATTTTTTTTTTGCATTTTAAAAGGGCACTAAAAATACGGGGGATAATGTGAAATGTACTAAATGAAAGCATAATGCAAAGCACTGGCTGGTTTGTAAACACGGGCGTAAAGGCCACAGGGGCCGCCCCGGACGAATCACGTAAGGAAATTTTTTTAAATCGTGAGGCAGGCCAAAATTTTTTTGCGTTAAAATGCTTTTTTTGAGGGTTTTAAATTGTAACGCATCGCGTTACTTTAAATACCCGTTCTTTAAGGGGGGGTCCACGTATTCCCATTTCCAGGACTCGAGTCCGACAAACCCGGGTTTTTCCCTGAACCCTTTTCCCAAAAAATATTACTCTCCCTCACACCCCAACAGCTCATAAAGGCCCCAAAAAAACCAAATTTCCCCACCCCTAAAAAATCTCCTGCACGCTTTCTAGAAAGGGCAATGTGGTGGGGTAAATATTAAAGCAGGGAAAATTCGGAGGGGGGAGTTAATTTAAAAAAATTTTTCAGAGGGTGAAAAGGGGCTGTTTAAGGGGGGGTTTGGTCATTTAGAGAGAATGGAAAACAGTAGAATGAATGGATATCATTTTAAAATCTGTAGGGGAAAGGGAAAGGGGGGGGAGGGGGTTTTATCCCGAAAAAGGTTTAAGGAAAGGGGTTTAAAGGGGGGTTTTGTGGGCCCAGGGGCCCCTTTGGGCTTTCCCGCGGGGTGGCCGTGAGCGTGTTTGAATAGGAGTGAAGGAAAATTTTAATGGTATTTGGGGGGCCTGACCCATCTGTTGGAGTGTGAGAGGTTTAAAATTTTGTTTAAGGGATTCAGGGGAAAACCGGTTAATTTTTTTTATAGCCAGACTTGAGTCCTGGGAAAGGGGGGTTTCAATTTCCCGCCCTAAAGGAGGGGTTCGGGTATTGGGGCTTTGGAGGGATTTGGGTTTTGTATCTTTTTTTTCTTTTATCTTCTAAAACTGTTGTGTTCTGGGGGGGACCCCTTCAAAAATGGTGATTTTGGGGTGAGTGAGGTGAAAGAGTTTAAAGATGATGAAAAATATTTTTTTTTTTGGATCACCTGCCCCGGTGGGGCGGCCCCCTTGGGAAAAAATATATATCTACATTTTAATATATATTTATTACATAAATATTATTTATAAAAATTTTATATATATATATTTATATAATATAAATATATAAAAATTCACAGTGGAGCCCCGATTAACGATATTTTTTCATTCCAAAAAGGGGATGTTATGGGCCAAATTTCTGGGCCCAATTTTTCCCAAAGGGAAAATTTTGAAGTAGATTGTCCATTTCAGAACCCCCCAAACATACAGAAAAAACGCACTTTTTATAAATTTCAATTTAAAAAATTGGTCACATTAGGAGGGGATTTGTTTAAGCGGGGGTCCCAATGTATTATATAAAATATTATTTATATATATAAAATATATATATATATATATATTATGCCCGTGGACCCCTGCCATACCGGGAACATTTAAAGCAAAAAATTTTTCCTCACCTCCCAAAAAAAAAAACTTTGCCTTACATGATTCTCCGGGAAAGCGTCCCCCTGTGTGGCCCCAGCTGCCCCCTGGGTGCCTGGTTTTTTTCAAGCCCCCGTGCGGTTTGCATCTAAGCATAATTCGGTTTTCATTTTATATTATCAAAAGTGTTTTTACGCTTGTAACTGCAAAGTTTAAGGGCACCATGGGCCCCAAAAAAGCTTCTTTGTGCCAACCCCCGTGGTTAAAAAGGGGGAGAAATTTTATGAAATTTTTTAAAAGATTTTTAAAGGGTTTTTGGGGGTAACCCTGAGAAGCCTATGGGCCCGTTTTTGGGGGAAACCATTTTGCCTACTTCAAAGATTAAGGAAATGTGTGCAAAAATGGGGGTTTAACTGCAAACCTTTAGGATGAAAAAAACCCCCTCCCTAACACAGCTATTTTAACCCTCTGGTGGGCTAAAAAAAAGGGACAATGTTGGGCCCAATTTTTTGGGGAAATCCCTTAAAAGGAAAAAGGAGGGACAGACCTTATGGAAAAGATTTGTTATGCACAGAGGTCCAGTTTACTCTCAAGGGGTTTCCCGTGGCACTAAAAGAAAAGGGAAGTAACCCCCCGAAAAAAGGAAATTGCAACCCCCAATCCTAATGGAAGGGGATTCCCCCCTTTTCAACCAAAAATTTACAAACCCCCTCCTCCCCCCCATCAATCATCACCAGATCTTCCCAAAAAAGGGAAGTGTCCCTGTATTTTATTCTTAGTAGAGTAGTAACGTGCATGTTTTTCTTCAGTTTGTGTGTATTAAAATGAATATTTCATGTGGTAAAAAAAATTTTTTTTCATACTTTTGGGTGTCTTGCACGGATTAATTTGATTTCCATTATTTCTTATGGGGAAAATTAATTCGGCTAATGATAATTTCGGCTTACGATGAGCTCTCAGGAATGGATTAATATCGCGATGAGCTCTCAGGAATTCAAATTCAAATTCAAAGTTTATTCTCTATAAGGATTACAATGCTGAGTTTACAGAATTTTGTTATTGTGTGGTTTACATGTAGTAAAATAATAATTACAGAGTGTACCACTAGAACACCTAGCATGGCTAGGCATTTTGGGCAGACTTAAATTAAATCTTAAGTTTAAAATATTACAAAATTATGAGGTAAGTTGGTATTATGGCTAGGTGACTAAATACTAGTTTGTGAGTTTAGCAATGTGAATGCTTTTGTTTTGGCAATATACATAGTTTCAGTATTGGAGTATCACAGGCCAACTTATGACTAGTTAAGATTCATTATTTTGAGATTGAGATTGATATTTCTGTTTATGGTCAAATGGGTGAGTGAGTGTAAGTGTTAACCACCAGGTGGTATTCGTGTAATTAGTTGACAGGGTGTATCAGGGAGATAAGATGTTATGGATTAATATCGTAAGGTGGGGGTCCACTGTATGTATGTATATATATGTATATATATATATATATATATATACACACACACATATACACATATACATACATACATAAGTGGGCCCTCGGTTTTTGTGCTTAATCCATTCCAGAGCCATCGGCCAAAACTGAAACCATTTTCGTTTCGTGCTTAATCCGTTCCAGACACCCAGAACTATCAACAAAAATTTTTTTTACTTTAAAGATAGAGTTACATGCACAAAAGAATGAACATTACACATGACACATTTGTTGAAGGCTGTTGTTGCTGGAAGGAAGACAGGGAGGAGGGGAAAGGAAAGAGGTTATTCTTTGGAAGAGGAATGACCTTCCATAAGGACTCTAGGTACCAAGTCCTTATCCAGGGTCACTTCCCTCTGTTTTTTAATGCCCTTAGGATCAGCTTGAGTTACTGGACCCGTTGCACAAAATATTTATACAAAGTGCTCTATTTCCATAGTCTCTAAGATTTGCCTAAAATGGGACATGGCACTGTCACTGTAAAAGTCACCAGCATGGATTGCAACAGGGTGATGTTCCTCTACAAATGAATGCACTTTAGTCCACATTGCACAAATCTCCTTAATCTTTGAAGAAGGCACCTTTTCCATCTCTCTTCCTCCTCCTCTGAAGCAATTTCCTCAGCTGTGCTTTGCGGCGGTTGCAGATGAAGCTCTTGCAGCTCATCAGTGGTTAGCTCTTCATTGTGGTCCTCCACATCGTCGCCACTCGCATCCAACCCCTTGGAATTCCCCAATGTCACAATTGATTGCACAACAGGTGTAGGGTCGATAGGGTCAGCCTCAAACCCTGCAAAATCATTCTTTTGGACACAATCTGGCCACAATTTTCCCCAAGCAGAGTTCATCATCCTGGAAGTCAGGCCTATGCAGTGGAAGATATTGAAGTGATTCTTCAAGAACTCTCTTGGGGTTAATTCAGAGTCCGAGGCTATGTCAAAGCACCTTTGAAGCATTGCTTTGGACAGTTTCGTGAAGTTTGCAATGATCTGTTGGTCCATGGGCTGGATGAGAGGAGTGCTGTTAGAAGGCAAGAACTTCACTGTTACAAATCTGAATTCCTTAGACAATTGGTCTTCCAAATCTGGAGGATGAGCATTAACAGGAGGCACTGGAGTGGCAATTTATTATCCAGGAGGTATTTCTTCACACTTGGGCCAAACACTTCATTGAACCATT